CTGTCCCCGGGAATGTCACCTGTCCCCGGGAATGTCACCTGTCCCCTCCGGGAGCCTCCAGCGGCGGGGGAGGGGCACCGGACCCCCCCTCCCCCCCCCGGGACCCCCTCAGGTGGGTCCGGCCAGGAGGAGCCGCTCCCGTCCCTTCCCCTCCCCCACGGTGGTGCCCACCTGAGCCCCCAGGGACCCCCCGGGACCCCCTCACCTGGCCTGGGGCTTGGGGGGGGTCAGGAGGCAGGTGAGTCCTGGCCAGGTGAGGCCCAGCTCCTGATCTTGTCCAGGTGAATCCCAGCCAGGTGAGTTCCCTGAACCTGTCCAGGTGAGTCCCAGCCAGGTGAGTCCCCTGAGCCTGTCCAGGTGAGTTCTGGCCCCTGAGCCCGGCCAGGTGAGGCCCAGCTCCTGATCCTGACCAGGTCAGTCCTGGTCCCTGAGCCCGGCCAGGTGAGGCCCAGCTCCTGATCTTGTCCAGGTGAATCCCAGCCAGGTGAGTCCCCTGAGCCTGTCCAGGTGAGTCCCAGCCAGGTGAGTCCCCTGAGCCTGTCCAGGTGAGTCCCAGCCAGGTGAGTCCCCTGAGCCTGTCCAGGTGAGTCCCAGCCAGGTGAGTCCCCTGAGCCTGTCCAGGTGAGTCCCAGCCAGGTGAGTCCCCTGAGCCTGTCCAGGTGAGTCCCAGCCAGGTGAGTCCCCTGAGCCTGTCCAGGTGAGTCCCAGCCAGGTGAGTCCCCTGAGCCTGTCCAGGTGAGTCCCAGCCAGGTGAGTCCCCTGAGCCTGTCCAGGTGAGTCCCAGCCAGGTGAGTCCCCTGAGCCTGTCCAGGTAAGCTCCGGCCAGGTGAGTCATGGCCAGGTGAGTTTCAGCCCCTGAGCACAGCCAGGTGAGTCCCCTGATCCTGTCCAGGTGAGTTTTGGTCCCTGAGCCTGTCCAGGTGAGTCCCAGCCAGGTGAGTCCTCTGATCCTGTCCAGGTGAGTTTTGGTCCCTGAGCCTGTCCAGGTGAGTCCCAGCCAGGTGAGTCCTCTGATCCTGTCCAGGTGAGTCCTGGTCCCTGAGTCTGTTCAGGTGAGTCCCAGCCCCTGAGTCTGGACAGGTGAGTCCCAGTCAGGTGAGTCCCCTGATCCTGTCCAGGTGAGTCCCAGCTCCTGATCCTGTCCAGGTGAGTTCTGGTCCCTGAGCTTGGCCAGGTGAGTTCTGGTCCTGAGTCAGGCCAGGTGGGTTCCAGCTCCTGAGCCCGGCCAGGTGAGTCCCGGTCAGGTGAGTTCTGGTCCTGAGTCAGGCCAGGTGAGTTCCGGTCAGGTGAGTTCCGGCCCCTGAGCCCGGCCAGGTGAGTCCCATCCGGCCGGGCTGGTCTGACAGGTTCACAGCAGGGCTGGTGACACCTCACCTGGGCAGAGACACCTCACCTGGGCTGGGACACCTCACCTGGGCTGGGACACCTCACCTGGGCTGGAGAACCTCACCTGGGCTACCGGGAGTGGCTACCGTGGCTGCCAGGCCAGCCGGGTGACAGGCGACAGTGACAAAACATCCGCCCGGCCGCGTTCCTGTCCCCCTGCGTGGCCACCGTGGCCACCCCCGGGCCACCCCCGGGTCACCCCCGGGTCACCGTGGCCACCCCCGGGTCACCCCCGGGTCACCGGACCGGTTCTGCCGGTAGCCCCGAGGAAGGGGGAGGGGCTGTGGTGGCTCCGGGAGGGGGGAGGGGTGACAGCTCTGTGTCACCCTCACCTGTCCAGGTGTCCCCGGGGGTGGCCCGGGCTGTTCCTGTCCCTGTTCCTGTCCCCTCTGTCCCCTCCCTGTCCCCTCCCTGTCCCCTCTGTCCCCCCCCAGCTCCCAGCAGCCGCCCCCCCCGGGTGCAGGAGGTGACACAGGAGGTGACACGGAAGGTGACAGAGCTGGGGACCCCTCCGCGGACCCCCCCGGTGTCACCTCGGTGTCACCTCGGTGTCACCCTGACCCCCCCGGAGTGACCGGGACCCCCCCGGTGTCACCCTGACCCCCTGTGACCCCCCCC